TATTATAATTGATTATTTAAATATTATGGTAGTAAAATTTTCATAGACATTACCATTTAAAACATGACACATTTAAGGTGAAAATAGTAGGTTGATTCGAAGAAGAAAACATTTAATTAAGTTAAGTTAAGTGATTTAGCAATTGTTTAATTTTTTTTTAATTTACATGAAATTCTGCAAATTGCAATAACGTATTTTGTTTGCTTTTGGTTTTTCCTGATTTTGTATATTTACTTACGCATACATAAAATGTTTATTCTAAATTTTATTTGGAATACTTAATAATAAATATTTATTTAGTAAAATTTCTGCTATTAGCGTTTAACACAACCTAAAATATGTATTTGTATTTGAGTACATACATGTGTATGTGTACAACAAAGAAGGTTTGCCATTTGCATAACATTGAACAAATTGTTTTTTTTAATTGTTACTTGTTTTTACTGTTTAATAATTTTATAATTTTTTACATAAATGTATGTATGTAATTATATAAATCTTTTTGCCTTTGAACATACTCAAAAAAGATAAAGCAAATAAGTAAATCATTGGAGCTTTTAAAAGTATTAAAAAAGAGGATGTAGTGTAGAATTTGTAAAATAAGGTTTTATATATGTATTCATGAAAAGGAATTTAATAAAAACTTATACCAGTGAAATTTTTGGAAAAGTCAGTAGGCTAGTGAAAGTTTTCGGCTACAATGAAAGCTCGTATACGTCGCTGATACACACGGTTTCATTTTAGGCAAAAAATTGCGCTAGCTTCCTACAACAAGGTATTGAGGAAATCAAAACGGGCTAGCTGGCGAAACCACTGTGAGGAAATAAATAGCCTCCCAGAGGCAGTAGGTCTCCAAAAAGCTCCCACAGGGTATTACAGGAATACAATTCACACTCGAAAGAGATCATATGCGAGCTACACTCAGCATCTGGGCGAGACCTGCAGAATGTTGTTAGATACTCACTTCCCTAATGGCAAGGTTTGCTATACAGATGGATCTAAAATTGAAAATGATCAAACTGGGGATAGCATATTTGGACTGAACTTAAAAAAATCTATACCAATGGGTAGCTCTACCCCATCATCTTTCAAGCGGAGATTCATGTAATTGTAATTTGAGGCAGAGAATGGCTTATAAGGGGCACACTACTGGCTTTGAATACCCACAAAATTAGTTCTCAGCTAGCATATGATTGCCTCAGTGTCCAAATGCTCTTGGAAGCAAAAATTCAGTTTTAATAGGATGGGATGGGCTTGACGGACATAATGGCAATTAGGAGGCTGACTGCTTAGCGAAACAGGGAGCTACTGCAGTATTTTATGGCCCGAAACCCTTTTATGGACTCCCCTTAGCACATATATAGGGTACTTTGAATAAAAATGTTCAACAGTTATTGGATGGAATGTCCAGGACGGATACAAGAAAAACGAAACTTCGAAAGAAACTTCAAAGAAACTACTCAATCTAGGCATAGAGGACCTCCAAACTCTCACTGGGTACTACAAAAGACACTACTCCATTCGCTATCACCTAAATAAAATTAGTCTATCAGAAACAAACGTCTGTCGCTTTTGTGAGTTGGACGAAGAAACGCCACAACACATTCTCTGTGAATGTGACGCCCTCGCTAGGCGCAGACTAGCTCACTTGGGTAATGCTTAAGTAGTACACGTATTTTTGGGAAAACAACCAGATGTGATTTTCAATTGAATCTTTTGTTCAGGGTTATCGCCTCTTATGAAAACTCAATCTCCGTCCTTCTTAGTTGGCATTTAGTCAGAATGTGTTTCCCTCTTTTGGTGCATGGGTGGGTTTATTAACAGACCTTTTTCAGAGCACTATTTCTCAGCTAGCTTTAACCCTCTAGTAGGCCAATTTTTTTATGAGTTGAAAAATTCAAGGAATAGGTGATTTTAGCATGAGAAATCCAAAACTGATGTCCATTTCGATCTGTGACAGTAACTTTTTCCTACAGGGGAGAAAAACCAAGACCATCTGGAGACGGGCTCGCCGATATACTTACACAAATTTTCAGCTTTCTCTTACACAATGTTGACCTTCGAACCGGCAATGCCGTCTGCAGACGGTCAAAAATGCAAAACTGGGGTTTTATATGTCGGCAAGCCGGTCTGTAGACGGTCTGTGTTCGAAAGCAATTTTCTCCATTTCGAATGGTGACATAATTATAAAACTTATATTAAAATACCGTGCTTTTAACAACGAAATCCACCGAATTTTTTTATATCAGAAAATTTTTCAAAAGAAAAAATTTCTTTAATTACGAAATTACTAAATAGCAAGAAATAATTAATTTTAACCGTGTTTTCAAAAAGTTGCCTGCAATCTAGAGGCAATGATATCTTCGCCGGCAAAGCCACAAGCGTTGAATACGTTTCCCACTAAGCTCACAACCAGTGTCAATAGTAAGGAAAATTGAGCAACCCCTTCAAACTGATTTTCTAAGGCTTTGATTATAAGGGAGCTAAGGCTAATTGGTCCATACGCCTTTGGAAGCTTTTTTGAGCTATTCCCCGATTTGGAAGCATAACAGATGATTTATGTTGTTATTTAAATTAAGCGTCATTCTCTAAGAAATTTATAGCAATTTTAGGAAATCATCAAATTAAATGTGAGAACACTTATTTTGGGGAAGTATTTTGAAAGAAATTAAGTAATTTACACTGCAATGTGAAGGTAGTCTAAGAGTCCATTAAAAGTGGTTAAATATTTGTTTAAAAAGGAGACCAGCAACAAAAGCAGCTTGATTGCAATTTTTTTTTTTTGTCAAAATTATGATTTTCCCTTAGGGAGCTTTTTGGAGGCGTAACTAAGCAAAGCAGCATTGTTTTTATTGCTGGTATAGCATTAACCAAGGCCTCACTTTTAAGGGACTAGGTTTTGTAGTTTTCTGAGTTTTTTGCTTTCCTTTTTACCATAACAGAGGGTAAATACCTATTTTCTTTAACAGTTGAAAGCATTTCTTCGCACCTGCTAACATTTTTCTTTATTTTTTCGTTGTGTGTTAATTTGAAATGCAAATTGTTGACAAATGTTATTGCTGGTTGGTGGCATCGCATATTGCTGTTGTTCAATTAAATTAAATTTATGTCATCGATTAATTTATGTGTATTAGTATCTTTTTTTTTAATACATACATACATAGACAATTTTAATTTGGAAAAGGCTCAATTTTTTCTTCGACCGAAAATATTTTTGTAAGATTTTATATTTTTTGTAATTTTGTTTTTCTCAAATTTTTATGTATGTATATTTTTAGTATTTTGCACATCAATTAGTTTACGTTCTTAGCGTTTCTTTGAAAGTGTATTATTTTTTTTTTTTATTAATAAATGTATTAATATTATTTACTACCCCTATTTATGCTTTTTGTTTACTTTCTCTTTCTTGTTGTTTTAATATATATTGTCTTGTGTACTTATACGAATAGTCAGCATTTTGTTTTTTATATAGCGTCACATGTGTTTAGTGTCTCATGTTGGAATAACAAATTTCAATTTTGTTATTTAGTAATTTCTTAATTTCTTTTTGTTACTTAATATGTTACTTTTTTAGTAAGTTTTTTTTTATGTTCGATTAATTTGAATATCGCTTGAGTTTTAAATTCAGCTCAATAATGCTCAATAAATATCATTATAACATTTGTATTTTTTTTTAATTTTTATTTAATAGAGTCCTCACTTGTCAGCTCATATAAGACTTCAATAGAATATATTTAGTAATACAATATTTTTCCAAAAACTTAGCAATAGCAATACACGCGCACATACTATACTTTATATATATTATTTGCAAATAGTTTTAATAGGTTTTATTAATCCTCTTTGCTCCAGTTCTTTATTTTTATGTTTTGCGTTTGCTTTCAGCTTTGTTTTCATCGATTTCTCTTTGTTTTTTTTTTCTTCTTGTTTTGTTGCTTCCCACTTGCTTAGTGTTAATTTTATTGTATTGTGTTTGTTATTTGTAT